AAAACATTTGTGACGTGAGCATACTGAATTGCTGGTGGCGTAGAAAACATATTTCTGTTGTGGCGCTGCCGGAGAATGCCGATGGCGCGGGGTGGGGGGCAGGAACACGCCAATGACCGTATCTTTTAATGCCTGACTGCATCATAAACAGTTCCAACTTTCAGCCGAAAATATGAAAAGAATTTTAACCATTCCTGAAACAGTTCTTGATACCACGTCAGTTGGTAGGGTATTTCCTTAATTCACGGGTGAGACATGGACTGTTAGAAAACCAAGAAAAGGTGAAAAGTTTCTAACTGCTGGATTTCGGCCTTTCATGATTGGGCTGTTCCCGAGGCCTTCTTTTCAAAAGGTTAATTTATGGCAGTACGCTGATCTCCATTTCCATGTCATCAACCAAGCGTGGCTTAATTTATAGGCAGTGGACGGCAGTTGACAAGCATACTGTGGAAACTCCTGTTTCCTTCCCACACTGTGGTACTCATTTTAACAACTGCAATATGACCAACTGCTAATATTTTTACAGTACTAATATAGTAAAAAAGCAATCGTCACGTTCATAATCTTCAGATCTTTCTCGGTGATTCATGTTACGCGCCACAAATGCAATGATGAAGTTTAGTTTAGCACGAGTTTCGATGTTTCGATGCTGTATGCCCGGTAACAGCATCAATCATCACTACATGTAATTGTCACAGTAAGACAAATAACGAAGAAGATCTTCCATGTCAGTTGCGGGTGTCTTCTTTAATCTCAAACAAGTTTATTGTTGCAGTCAAACTTGTTTTTATTGCAGGAAGAATGCTTGACATATTTCCGCTTTCTGACTGTTGTTTGAACGGGTTGTTTTATTAATAGGTAAAATAATTTCTGCCTATGTCTAAAATGCGTAACAGCCTTGCTACATGTATTTTTCTCTTCTGATGCATGTTCTGCATAAAACTATTGCATGGTCCTACGACTCTGCGCTCCTGTGTCGTGGATTTTATAGATAGCAGTCGAATTTAATAGGTTAACAGTAGTGCAATGGGTAGGTAGATTGTTTCGCATATAAGAGTGCAGGTTTAAACTGAATACACGGCATAAACATTTGCCCTTACCTGCTAATTCTTTGAGGAAGGAATTCACCCCCCCCCCACTCTACTTCGGTGCAACCAGCCGAAAATCAGGTAGC